TATAGCTCCTTCTTCATTTTTGCTGCATGCAAGATTTCCTTATTATTCAGATCTATCATTTTTACTATAATGTGTCTAGAAGTGTTTCTCCTGGGATCTTGCTTGTTGGGTGTTCTATAGGCTTCTGTTATGTAGGTAAGATGTTCTTTTTTGAGGTGGGGAAAATTTTCACCAATTATCTTGTTGAATAGGTGTTGCATTCCCTTGCTCTGAAATTCCTCAGCTTCGTCCACTCCAATTATACGAAGGTTAAATTTCTTGGCATTATCTGCTTGCTCTTGACTTTCCCTTTGGTTTAATTTGAGTGATTTTTCCATATCTGTCACTTTTTGGTCCAGTTGGTGTATTCTGTCTTCTGTATCTGACACTGTAACTTCCATTTCATTCACTGTGTTGACCATGGCTTCTATTGTGGTTTGCATGGAGGAAATGGATCCCTTTATGGATTCAATATTGGTTCTCAAAGTACTGATCTCAGGTGAGATCAGTATGCATTACCTCTAATTTGGCATTTATATCACTTCTTACTGAGGTTTGTGCATCTTCTATTTTTGCATGCATCTCTTGTTTGATATCCTGTTTCTCTTTTGATAGTTCATCCTTGTGCTCTTTCAACTTCTGATCTATTTCTCACTTTCTTTCTTTTTTTTTTTTTTTTTCCAGTAGTGGGGCCTGAACTCTGGGCCTGGGCACTGTCCCTCAGCTCTTCAGCTCAAGGCTAGCGCTCTACCACTTGAGCCACAGTGCCACTTCCGGCTTTTTTCATTTTGCTTATGTGGTGCTGAGGAATCGAACCCAGGGCCTCATGCATTCAAGGCAAGCACTCTACCACTGAGCCACCTTCCCAGCCCCCTCACTTTATTTCTTGAGTCATTGCCTCCAGCATCCCTTGGATGTAGCTTTTGTCTTCCATTCCTGCTTTGCTCCCACTGAGGCTCTCCCCTGCGTGGCTGCTGGCTATTGAGGATAGCTTGCTGTCCTGGGTGGTGGTAAACCTTGTAATTTTTCTCTGTGATTTTCGCATAGGGTTTCAGGAGACTAATCTGCAATTTTGTTTTGGTGTGTCTGTCTTTGCTTGGTTGCTGATTCTGTATTGGTAGAGAGAGTCTGTGCCTGATCTGGGTTCTGTTGGGAGCCTACTTCCAGCTGTTGGTCTGACCTACTTAGGATTCTCGGCTCTCTGCTGTAGATCGCTGGCAATTCCCACCTTTGGAAGGGTTGAGCAGCCTAGACTGCTTGTGTTTGCTCCTAGAGGTGATCTTGGGAAGATCAGATGCTCTGGATGCACTCTCCCAGTTGCTGGAGTCTGCTATGGGCTCTTGATGTGTTTTTGTATGTTTGTTTGTTTTGGGCTGGTTGTGGGCTTGAACTCTAGGTTTGGGTGCTGTCCCTCAGCTCTTCAGCTCAAGGCTGGCACCTTACCATTTGAGCCACAGCACCACTTCTGACCCTTTTTGCTTTTGTGATGCTGAGGAATCAGATCCAGGGCCTCATGCATCCAAGACTATCACTCTACTGTTGAGCTGCCTTATCAGCCTGAGCTCCTACTTACTCTCAGGTGCTGGCGGCCTGTGTTGCCCAATTCCCAGCCTAGCATATATGTGTGGGGTTTTGGTGGGGTTTGGGCTTCTCTTGTCCTGAGCCTCCAGGTCTTTTGTTGTCACAGGTGTGCTTCCCAGGGGGTGCAGTTCCCTGTTTTTCTCCCCTCTGCTGAGGCATATGCTCAGCTTTTGACTTCAGTTGGGAGGAGTTGGTTGTGTTGTTCACGTACTGGATCCCCAGGCCTGGTTCCAGCCCCCGCCTGGAGTGCACTCGTTGGGTCTGTGCTGCTGTGTATACAATCTAGGTTATGCAGCCTGGGGTACACAGTTCAAATTTCTTCTACTGTTGGTTGTCTTGACCCAGGGGCGCTATTCCTGGCCTGGGCATTTAAGCTCCCTTCCAGGGGTGCTCTTGCTCTAGCCTGGCCAGCGGAGTGTGCTCCACGGGCTGGTGGAGCTCTCGAACAGTTCCCAGTTTTAGTGAGTCCTGTTGTGCGGGTGTTGGGGTAGGGAGTCTGGGTCAGGGTCTGGGGATTCCTTCCAGCTCTGGTCTCCCTTGAGGGATACACTGTCCCCTGTGGGGTACTCACCCTGGAACTAGTTGTTTCTGTGTGGTGTAGGTCGTCAGTTGCTGTTGCAATCCGAGTTCAGTTGGGGTGGTTGCTGGCTGGGCTGGGCAGTGGTGGCTCTGTGTGATTCTTTTCTGTCTCTGCCTCTATTGAAGCTGTCGGTTCCATGTCGCGACCGCCTCGACCCGCAAGGATGATGCGACAACAGGTCCTTCTTTCAGACGGTTTATTCAGGACCTTGTTTACAGCTTCTTTTCTCCTACTTCTCTCCTGCCCGCTTCCTTCTTCTTCTTGTTTCTCCTCGTTTCTCCTTCCCATCAGCCCCCGCGCTCCGGTTATAAGCCTCCTGAATGGCCAATCCTGAAGTGCCACGTGGCATATACTGATAGGTCTGCAAACACAGAAGCAAACTAGGAGCCAAGTCATAGCCATATAAGGAGTTGTTTTTTACAGAGAGCACTCGTACTGGGAAGACGGAAGGCGGGAGCCCGCGCCATCTTAGGTCACAGCCGCACCACGCGGCCCCGCCATTTTAGCTACAATGTTGCTTTTGCAGCCGTCTTTGGTCGCGGCTCCCGCAGCTCTCCACAGTTCCACAGTGTCCACGCTCAGGTGGCTTCTGCACAGGTGATCTGCAGGCAGCCCCCTGTGTCTCTGGGACCCGGCGGCCCTGCCGGGTTGTTGCGATCTACGGATCTGACACCAGTACCTCAAGTGGCTTCTGTGCGGGTCATCTGTAGGCAGTCCCCTGTGCCTCTGGGACCGGGCACCCCCCCCGCCGGGTCGTCACAATCAGCGGTTCTGACACTGGTACCTCAGGTGGCTTCTGCGCAGGTTGTCTGCAGACAGCTCCCTTTGTTGTGCTGCTGGTGCTAGGTGGCTTTGGTGGGATGGAGCCTCTCTGCTCGGATGGAGAGTGAGAGGTGGGGGTTCAATCTTCTTGGAGACTCCCAGCTGGTAGGTTTCTCTGTTTGTCGTGATTAGCAGGTCTGCAAACCGGTACCTCAGGCGGCCTCTGTGCGTGACCTGCAGGTGGCCTCCTGTGTCTCTGGGGCTCCAGCAGCCCCCGCCGGTCTGGCTGGCTGTGGCTTGGCGTGCTGCCGCGCGGCCAGTGAAGATTGGGGGAGGGGTCTTCGCTCTTCTCTGTTCTGAAATTCTTCTTTTCCTCTCTTTCTTTTTTGTTATTTCCCACCTCCTGTTTTTCTCTGAGTGTTCATCTTTTTGTTGTTGTCGGTCTCTTGGGGAGATTAAGCATTGGAACTCGAACTCTCTTTTTGATTGGGGAGAGCTGTGGCGTTTCCCTACTGCCCCGTCGCCATCTTGGTCCCCCCTCTCTGCTTTTTTAAAATATATATTTTATTGTTGTAAAGATACTATACAAAGGGCTTACAGTCATATGAGCAAGGCAATGAGTACATTTCCTATCCAGTATTGTTACCCCCCTCCTTTGTTTTTCTCCTACCATCCCTTCCCTCCCCACCTCCCCAAATCCACCCTTCCCCCCAAGTTGTAAAGTTTGTTTTCAACATCGTATCTTGTACACCTCATTGTTACAATGGGTCAATCTGTATCCTTATTTAAGCATTTTGTTGTTTCCTTTCTTCCCAAAAGTGTATATACAAGATGCAGGGCACTGGAATCAAATACAGTGAAAACAGGTTATACTATGGGGGAAGAACAAACAAAAGAAACAAAAAAACATCACATAGTACATTATAAGTACATTAAAAACAACAGCAACAAAGATAAAACCTCTTGTGTCCCTAACTTGGTGTTCATTTCACTTAGCATTATCTTATATGGTCATATGTACATAACTTGTCCTAGACATATACTCGTTATTACAGATAAGGGAAACCATGGAACTTAAGTTTCTTTGAGCCTGGATTACTTCACTTAATGTAATTTTTTCCAAGTCTTTCCATTTCCCAACAAATGGGGCAGTGTCATTCTTTCTGATGGAAGTATAGAATTCCATTACACACACACACACACACACACACACACACACACATATAAATACCACATTTTCTTGATCCATTCATCTACTGAGGGGCATCTGGGTTGGTTCCATATCTTAGCTATAGTTGTGCTAGTAGCTTCAATTGAAGAAAGATAGCCTCTTCAGTAAGTGTTGCTAGCAAAATTGGTTAAACACCTGTAGAAAACTAAGCTAGATCCTTATATATCACCCTGCACCATAATCAAATCCTAATGGATCAAAGACCTGGAAGTAAAAGCACACACTCTGAAACCATTATAGGAAGGAGCAGAAGAAACTCTGGGTGGCTCCTTGGCACAGGCAGAAATTTCCTTGGTAAAAACCCAGAAACACAACAAATCAAAGAAAGGTTGAACAAATGGGATTGAATGAAATTCAAGACATTTTCTTTCTTTTAGCTTCTCCTGAAAAAAAAATCTGAGGCATTTTCATATGCTGAGGAATTACAGTGTAGTACAGTTAGTACAAGCTTCAAAGTCAGAACTAGACTCAAATCTCAAACCTGTACCAGCTACACAATTCTGGGTAAGTTACTTAGCTTTTCTGAGTTTTTGTGTCTAATTGAAAAGTTGATATAGTAATATGAAACTCAAAACGTAGTTATGAAAGTTAAATGAGACCACGTATACAATGTTCACTAAAAAAAGCAGCCATTATCATTAGTACAGGGAAGCCATGGAATGACGTATAATAATAAGGGACTAATAAGTACTACTTCTTTTTCTGTACTTCCCTTTCTCCCCACCCTCATATTCTGATACAAGAGAGTAGGCTTGGCTTTATCAGGCACCTTGTCTTGATTACTACCCTCCTTGCTTCCTGATGGCTAGTATCTTCTGCAAGGTGACTAGGTGTCTCTTTTTAAACACATTTTCTCAGTTCCTCCTCCTGGATTTCTCTGGGCTGAGTCCTGTGGTTGGAATGGTCCAGGAATATGTTGCTTCCTCCATTTTCAGGATTTAATTTACTCATAGTTTCAATGTACAGGGAACCAAAATGTTGCAAATTTCCTTCTGCAAAGAGCAGAAGGTACAACTACTGCAGGCAGATGCTTTCTATGTGGGGGTGAGGAGGGATCACTACAAAGAAAATTCTAGTGATAAAGGGATCCTTGATCTATGGTAATATGTGACCATGCTAGACAGTAATTCACACACATATACCTCTTACTGAAGCAAGCAAAATAAAGATTTCTTGTAACTTGTCCAGTTGTAGCTCTCTTCAATCCCCATCACTGCCACAGAAAATGTAACGTATTTATTAAAAACTCAGTTATTTTTTAATATATTTTTATTGTGAAAATACTGTACAGAGGGGTTACAATTACATGGGTAAGATAATGAGCACATTTCTTATCAAGCATTGTAGCCTCCTGCCTTGTTTCCCCTTCCTATCCCTTCGTATCCTCCCCCCCAACCCCGTCCCCCCCCACCAAAGTTGTAAAGTTCGTTTTTCAACATAACGACTTGTACATCTCATTGTTGCAATGGGTCCTCCTGTATCCCTGTTTTAACAATTTGTTTTTTCCCTTCCCCTCCACATATACCAACATCATATATAGTGAAAGCAGGGGTTGTACCATGGGGGAGGGACATACAAGGCAACAAAGACATAATCTTATAAATATGTTAGAAACAATCACATGAAAGATCTCTCTCTCTTTCTTTTTTGTCAGTTATGGGGCTTGAGCTCTAGGCCTGGGAGCTGTCCCTGAACAATTCAGCTTAAGGCTCATGCTGTACTACTTGAAGCTCAGTTATTTTTAATGTTTCTCCAAAGTTAGCCTGGATCACTCACCTATTTCCTCTTTCCTCTGATCTGGTGTTTTCATTGATTTTAGACTCACCTATACTTACTTGGCCTCAGGCTGGTAAACTTCCTAAGGGAATGTCTTTGATAAGCTGCGTTAGATGGTATTGGTGAAAAGCCCACTCTTGCTGGGGGCATGGAGCTCCTCTCAGCTCCTGAAAACCATGACTGTTTCCCCAGAACCCTCTGGTATTTCCTGCTGTTCTCTTTTTTGGGGGGGGTCCGGTCATGGGGTCTGAACTCTGGGCCTGTCCCTCAGCTTTTCAGCTCAAGGCAAGCACTTTACCATTTGAGCCAGAGAGCCACTTCCAGCTTTTTTCTGCTTATGTGGTGCTGAGGAATCGAACCCAGGGTCTTATGCATGTGAGGCAAGCACTCTACCACTGAGCCAACTTCCCAGCCCCTTTCCTGCTATTCTTGACTCTGAGGCTGATGGTATTTAACTTTCCCTCACTCTAGACCATTCTGTCCTCTGTGTGTAGAAGACCACTGAGCCTCAAAGGATCACAGCATTGGAGCCAGCACAGGAGGCACTTCTTAGAGATCTTTATGGCTGATGCTGATCATGAACAGAAACCTTTAGGAAGTGGCATGGCCCCTCAGCAGAGGCAGACATCTAATAGGAGCCCCTGGCAGCTTGGAAGTTGCAAACAAATCTTTTTGATCTTATCTCCTAAAAGGCAGAGTATAACTATAAGTAATAGTTATCAGGTGCTTGATAAATGCTCAACTCTGTTCTAATCACTATGCATTGAATCTGTAATCCCTGTTTTATAGACAAGGTAACTGAATCACTGAAAGGTTGTAGGGCATGGGACAAAGTTTTAAACCTAAATAATATGTCTCTAGGCCCTATACTTTTTTTTTGGAGGGGGTCCAGTCGTGGGTCCTGAACTCTGGGCCTGGCTGCTGTACCTCAGCTCTTCAGCTCAAGGCTAGTGCTCTACCACTTGAGCCATAGCACCACTTCTGGCTTTTTTTTCCTGCTTATTTGGTTCTGAGGAATTGAACCCAGGGCCTCATGCATGCAAGGCAAGAGCTCTACCACTGAGCCACCTTTGCAGCCCCTAGGTTCTACATTTTTAACCACCATTCATGCTTCTTACACAGCATACCTACATGTAAAAAAAAAGTGCATATTGTGCCTTCCACCTCCTTAGTTCTTCATTCAGATGGTTTTCATTGGCCGGAGGCTTCATCCACCATATAGAAAATCCCAGTAATTTATTCCTTGAGTAAAATAGAGACTATTCTAGAGACTAGTCTCATTCGATCCAACACTGCCAAACTGCCAGTCTTGCTGATTAGATTCCTTACAAGTTCTCAGAACAATGATGGTAGCTGAAGAACATGATGAACAAAGGGAGCTCACATCCTAATGAGACATTCAGGATGTGGAGGGTGTTAGGTTTTTTAAAAAGAGGTAGCCAAGTAAGAACAGCACCACACATGTAGTATTCAGGTGAGCGGTAGGTTTATTCATCGTTTTGGCTGGCACCAGGCCATCTTGGTTCTCCACGTGGTGGGGAAAGGCCTGGGAAAAAGAGCTGAGAAAGAGAGAGAGAAGAGCTAGAAAAGAACAGAGAGAGCAGAGAGCAGAGAGAGCTAGAAAAGAGCAGAGAGAGGGAGTCTGGGCCTAGGCTAGGCCTTATCTAGGGTATGGGTGGAGAAAGGTATGGCCACATCAAATTCAGATGTGACCTCTTCCAGGTGTCCCAGTTGCCTAGGTAATGCAGGTACTAGGTGGAGATTTTGCTTCGAGGAGGGTGGAGTCTGCTAGCCATCCAGGAGCGGACCTTACATTCCAGCCTTTTAATAATCATGAAATAGGGCGTGGATTCTCTCTGGCTACTTCCTGCTGACAAGGGGCGTTGACAATAGGGGTAAAAGGCTGCAATTTGGTCCCCTCCCAGAGAAGGCAGTGAGCAGCAGCTGTCCCTTGGTGGCGTGAATCCTTACATGAAGTCTGGAGAAGTCTCATGAGCATTGAGAGGCTGGAAAAAAAATACTAGAGAGCAAATAAATGGCAAGAGGAAGGACTTGGGCTAAAAATGTTGGTAGAAATGTCCCTAGCTACTTCTGACATCTGGTGACTAGGTAGAGAAGTCAGGTGACAAAGGCAAGAACATAAATTCCTGTTCAGTTAATAGGTAGACAGGTATAGACATTGGATGGGCAGGCTTCTTACTTCCACTGACTTCCTGGCTCTGGTTAATTTTGAAAGGGCAGGCACAAAGTAGCTGATGTGACATCATCTCCTCTTACTCCTGTCCATGTTCCCTTGTTCCCCAGACTGGCTGAGTCTAGGTGCTTGTTGCTGGGATGGCTTGTCCCAGTTGGTATTCAAGGAGGATTGAACTCAAGGCCTGGGCAATGTCCCTGAGCACTTCTGCTCAAGGCTAGTGTTCTACCACGTTGAGTTACAATAGCACTTCCAGTGTTTGGCTGGTTAGAGATAATAGTCTTGAGCCATGTTTCCAGCCTGGCTCTTTGCGGGTTAGTTGGGAGATGGAGTCTCCCGGGTTGGCTTTGAACTTCAATATTTGCCATAAAAACCCTTTATTATTTCCAATTAAAGCAACAGGGAGATCCAATAGAATAGAGCTTACCTGGTCCTTATCAAGAATTGATCAACAAATATTCTGCAATGACAAAACTTGTTAGATGTGATGAGAATTTTAGCACAGATTGGCCCAGAATTTTAGAGTCATGTAGTCAGTACCAGAATACACAACACAAAACAAAAAAGGCAAAACTCAAAACCTAAAATTTTTACAACAATGTTTAGTCAACTTTGCTAACAAAGCACATCAGATAGTTGGGCCTCAGTTACCAGGGCTTGTGAAAAGAACAACTTGTTAGCAAGGCACCTTAGAATAGATGGATGGAGTGGTAAGTTTGGTGGAAGGTTAAGGGTCAGATGGGGCAAACCCTTAACAACCATGTGGCCAAGATGGCGAATTCAAGATGGCAAATTTCTGAAAAAAAATGCAAAGAAACCCTGAACAAATAGATCAAGCCTACATTGGCTAGCCTTTGAGAGGGAACCTAGAGGGGGGCCCCCCAGGACCCAGCCTACATCACACTCTTCAGGGCACAAGCCAAAAAGTTGTAAAAAAAAAGATAGAAAATTGGACATGAATGGCAGAGAGAGAGAGCAAAGAGAGCAGTAGCAAAAACTGCACATCTGAGAATGGCATAAAATTAGGCTCTCTGGCTTTCCAGGGAGCGCAGGAGGCATTTCAAAGGGGTTTCACGGCTCAGGCGTGATTTGCAGCACCCCATTAAATGAGTAGGAGAGTCAGTCCGGTGAGTGAAGGAGAGCTGACCAGGCAGAAGCGGCGTCCCAACTTCCCCCAGAGCCCTCTGGAGAGAAATGGCCAAGCCCCCAAAGCCAAGTGTCCTCGGCTTCAGAGGTGACCAGCCTTTCAGCTAAAGGCCATAGGTGCTCTCTGGCATGGCACCACCTCTGGACAGAGACTGAGCAACAGAGAGCTGTAGAGAGTAGTTTCACTCACCAGAGTAGAGAAGTGGTGTGGACGTGGATGTGAAGGCAGCAATGGTATCGATGTGCTGTGTCCGCAGCACACAGATGGGTTCGCAAAAGGCCATTGGAACTGTGGATATTCCTCAGAGCAAAAAGCGAAAAACAAACAAAAAAAGAGGAAAAAAAACAGAGAGGAATCCCAGCTATCCTGACTTTAAGCCCTTTATCCGAGTCACAGCACCATTTATTTTAGGTTTTTAAAAAGAGGTGGCCGAGTAAAAACAGCACCACACACGTGGTATTCAGGTAAGGGATAGGTTTATTCATCGTTCTGGCTGGCACCAGGCCATCTTGGTCCTACACGTGGTGGGGAAAGGCCTGGGAAAGAGAGCTGGGAAAGAGAGAGAGCTGGGAAAGAAAGAAAAGCTAGAAAAGAACAGAGAGAGAGAGAGAGAGGAGAGAGCAGAGAGCAGAGATCTCGCTAGAGAGAGCTAGAAAAGAGCAGAGAGAGGGCATCTGGGCCTGGGCTAGGCCTTATCTAGGGTATGGGTGGAGAAAGGTATGGTCACATCAAATTCAGATGTGACCTCTTCCAGCTGTCCCAGTGGCCTAGGTAATGCAGGTACTAGGTGGAGATTTTGCTTCAGGAGGGTGGAGTCTGCTAGCCATCCAGGAGTGGACCTTACAGAGGCCATTTAAGGATTTCTAATCTGGTGCCTGTTAGGTTTTTAAAAAGAGGTAGCTGAGTAAGAACTGCACCAGCACGCACATGGTATTCAGGTAAGGGGGTAGGTTTATTCAGTAGACCTGCTGGGACCAGGCAAGGTTGGCACTCCATGTGGCTGGGAAAGGCCTGGGAATGAGAGAGAGCTGGGAAAGAGGAAAGAGAGAAGAAAGAGCTAGAAAAGAGCAGAGAGAGGGGTAAGAACAGTAGCACTCACGTGGTATTCAGGTAAGGGGTAGGTTTATTCAGTAGACCTGCTGGGACCAGGCAAGGTTGGCACTTCACGTGGCTGGGAAAGGAAAGAGGAAAGAAAGGAAAGAGAGAGAAAAGAGCTAGAAAAGAGAGAGAGCAGAGAGCTAGAAATGAACAGAGAGAGAGAGCAGAGAGAGCTAGAAAAGAGCAAGAGAGACAGAGGAACAGAGAGAGAATCTGGGCCTGGGCTAGCCCTTATCTAGGGTATGGGCAGAGAAAGGTGTGGCCACATCAAATTCAGATGTGACCTCAGCGGATGCAGATGTGACCTCTTCCAGGTGTCCCAGTTGCCTAGGTAGCTCAGGTACTGGGTGGAGATTTTGCTGTGAGGAGGGTGGAGTCTGCTTGCCATCCAGGGGCGGACCTTACAGTGCCCTCATTTCACTTTCAGTGTGCTCTAGCTGGGCATCTCCTCCAATTGACATCCAGGGGCAGATGTAAATACCAAATTTTTTTTTTTTTGGGTCCGGTCGTGGAGCCTGAACTCTGGGCCTGGGCGTTGTCCCTCAGCTCTTCAGCTCAGCTCAAGGCTAGCACTCTACCACTTGAGCCACAGCACCACTTCCGGCTTTTGTTTTCTTTTTGCTTATGTGGTGCTGAGGAATCGAACCCAGGGCCTCAGGCATGCAAGGCAAGCGCTCTACCACTGAGTCACCTTCCCAGCCCTAAATACCAAAATTTTATGGCCTGAATGTGTTCCTCCACATTTGTGTTGGAAACTTAATCCCCAAAGTAACAGTGTTTTAGGAGGTGTTCAAGTCATGACAGTTCAATCCTCATGAGTGGATTAATGCCACAATGAAAAGGGCTTTTGAGAATGGATTTATGCTCTCTTGCCCTTCTGTCTTCTGCCATGTAAAAATAAAATGTTCTTTCTTTATAGAGGATGCAGCAACAAGGTGTCATCTCACAACCAGAGCTGAACCTTCACCTGAACCTGGAAATCCCAGTATCTCTTCTAATTGTTGAATTTCTTCTTGATCTTCATTGGCTACATCAGAGTTGTTGGGTTTGAGGTATTCTTCCTCACTCTTGTTTGTTAACCCCATTTCTTCTATAGCAGACTGATCATGGATCATTTTGCCTTCACCTCCATAGTGCTGAGATTACCATGTTTGCCATTCTGCCCCACAAGGATTTTCATCAGCACCAGTTTCAGGGTCATTCACCAAGTGTAACACCCCCATGCATACACACTTCAAAACCTCTATTGCACCTTTTTTTTTCCTGACCCCCAAGTTGCCAGTCTTCTGCGTTTTAGCAAGAATGGAGAAGAGACAGAGGCTGACTACTGGCAGCCTTTGTGATTTTTCTTTTTTTTTTCTTTGTGATTTTTCTAACTTTTTGTCAGTGAATAGCAACTCAGATATTATACTCTGTTGCTCCGTCTCTGTCCAGATATGGCACCATGCCAGACAGCTCCTATGGCCTTTAGCCAAAAGGCTGGTCAACTCCAGAGCCAAGGATGCTTGGTTTGGGGGCCTTGTCCATTTCTTTCTAGGGTGTTCTGGGGGAAGTAAGGACACCACTTCTGCTTGGTCAGCTCTCCTTCACTCACCAGATTGACTTTCTTGCACTTTTAATGGGGTGATATGAGTCATACCTGAGCTGTGAAACCCCTTTGAAATGCTTCCTGCACTCCCTGGAAAACCAGAGCACCTAATTTTTATGCCATTCTCAGATTTAGACAGTTTTTGCCATTGCAATGGTAAATGGTCAGAGGTCTGTTTTCTTTCAGGCTCTGTTCT